TACCACACATATCCCGATTCATTCAGACTTGCTTGGATGGTTCCGAGATTTACACTCATAAATGGCTCTCATGGCAGGGAAAAAACGTGAAATGGCAATAAATTCGGCCCAAATAGTCGCGACATCAAACGTGCCAAGGACATTATTATCTGTTACCTTACCGGTATTATTGTCTTGTTATATGATATTATATTATATGTCTTGTTATATTATAAACTTGTGTATTTGTTTTCTCCTCTTATCGCCAACAGAGTAGCATTACACTAACAGGCGAAGCTGTTAACACAAAACACACTAAATGGACAGCACACAGCAGTATGAACATAATCAAAGGAAGACGCGTATAAAAGCTGGGTGAAGATGCTACAGAGTTAAAACATACTTGATCCCTTGAAATCTAAAAATGCCAAGACTGTCGTGAAAAAAGGCCGCACTAGAGCCGCTAGTTGAAAAGTGTTCTCAGCGCTTGGCAGTCCGCAAACAGAAAGAAGGACTTTTATCACAGAGCGCTTCGTGCTGTCTGCACACGAGCGCGAGGCACAGCGAGCAGAGTTAGGATGTGGGCTGATGGAGGCGGCACAAGCAAGGGGGAACATCTCAACAACATATGAAAGTCCATTTTACTGTTGTTAGTTTTTGCTTCTCGGAAAGAATAAATCGTGTTGCATTCTTCACGCTGCTAGTGATGTAATTTTGAAATGAAGCAAGAGGTTGCCACATGAAATAGAAGATCTTTGCCCGGAGAATTTGTTAGTAAGTAACCAATTGATAATTTTGTGTTGCACTCGATCCACCTACCTGTGTATGAATTGGCCGCTCCTGTCCAGACCACGCTACAATATTCTAAAACCGTTCGCACGTTTACAAATACACAGCCATCACTGCCATTCGATTGAATTTTGGCCTACTGGTACCGATTTTGAGGGGACCGAATAATGAGGCCAAGTGCTCGATTGGCGCTACTAACTTTGTCAGAGACATGTGAAGTGAAGATTAGTTTGGTGTCCAGCGTTACGCCAAGGTCCCTAGTTTTACAAACATGTTCGAGCTCACTTACATCGATGAAATACTTGGCCTGGACGGAAACACGCCTGGGGGTCATCGTGGACGTTTTACAGTACGCAGTGTTGAGGGTCAGCCCCCACCTGACAGATCACGCCACCAGATGATCGAGATCATTCTGCAGGAGCAGAACGTCAACAGAGGATGTCATTTTGTGGGAAATTTGCATGCTATCGGTATACGAAAGGCAGCCGGCTCCAATAACGCACGGAAAATCGCTAATAAACAGTGAAAAAGAAAGAGAAGAAGCCAAGAGTGATCGTTCCGGGACGTCGGAGGTCACCAGTTTCCAATGGAAATTTTTATGACGATAACCATTTGACGTCAGTAGGACAGATTTCAGACAAACCAACGTAGACGAGATTCTCTCAATGGTACGATTTTTTGGCCTGTGAATCGGGAGCTCATGGTCAACTCTCTGAAAAGCAGCCGAATAATCGGTTGTAAATGGCATCCGTCTGCTACCCGTCCAACATGGCCTCCCAAGTGGATTTCAGGTAAACACATAGGCTCATGCTGCACGAAGACCTAGAGATAAAACCATGCTGATGATGGCTCAACATGGCGAGACGTGGTGGCGCAGTTAATCATACGCAACCCTTTTCAGCTCTTACTGAAGATAGGAAGCAGGGGCACACTTCTGTAATGTGACGGCTCCTTTTAGTCACCTGTTGAAAGTTGGTATGATGCTTGCCTTCTTCCACCTCCCAGGGAAGACACGAGAACTTACCGACAGGTTACAAATCCTGGTGGGCGGAGCGACTGACTCGTCCGCGCACTCGATGACTATGCGGGCACTGATATTGCCAGTCCTGCGGGCCTTGTTGGGACCGACCATAGTAATCGCGAATTGCACGATTGCCTCAGACACTTTCAGCTGGCCAAGCGAATCGGCTGGGTAGCACGGTGCATCTGGAGGTTTTTTTTTGCACGAACATAAGCAAATTTCAGAGCGAAGGCGTCATTCGCGTGGTGGCGCGAGCTTTGTCATTCGATAGGATAATCCGCTCAGAGCTATACACGGCTGATGATATGCATGAGAGCTTATGTAATATGCAGGCTTGCATCGCAACGGTATTAAAATCTTAACGATTTTGTGGGTTGTGGAGGGCGAAGCTGAACTACGACACACCCATAGAAAAACATCCCGCAATGCGTAGAAATTCCTCCAATACATGTAGATTTCTTAACTACATGACGTGGTGCCTAAAACAGAATGTTCAGACACGCCAATGACTTGACTTTCAACGAGCAACGACTGGCGACTTAGAAGATAAGGATAGGCTTAAGGCCTTGGACCTGTATTCACTGAAATATCCTAGACTTAGAGGGGATTTGATAGCGGTTTTCAAGATTATGAAAGGGATAGACAAGGTTCATCTACAAGGAGCACTGGAAATTTGGCCGAGACTTAGAGCAAACCAGTTTCAATTAGCAA